TTTAAAAAAAAAAAATCTGTTGTGAATTTAAGATCTATGTGTGACCTTTTTTTCAAATATTTCGTATAATATGATTATTATTTTTGAATAGTAGATTCTTTGATAGTAACTACTGTGAACAGTGTCTTTAAATTTGATAACCATCAGGATTTTGGATCTTTTGCTTCAACACAATCTTGTCAGATGTTACGTTAGAGTGCTTCGACAAGTTATAACATCTTACTACTTTCGTACAACCTCGCCCAAGTAAAAAAAAGAATGCCAATGTGAAGTAAATGTTACTCGACATTTCCAAGTCCCAAATTATGTGCAAATAATTGGTGTACTTGACAAGGACGTTGTTTTCACACTCTATATTCGCTGGCACTTTTTTTGCGTGGAGTATAAAAGCTTTCCTGCCGTTTAATCGTGATTAAATTAATTTCAGAGATGTCCTCCTAATTACAATATGAATGCTTACTTGTTATTAAAAAATATCTAATTCATGAAATTCTACAGAAGCTCATAGATGATGAAATTATTGTAGGTAACCTAATTTAAACAATGATGAATATTTTTATAATGGGATATTGAAAAACTTTTAGAAATAGCCTAATACGACAAATCGTGGAATTTTTTCAATACCTGAAGACAAAAATTTCAACAATCAGTTATTGAAATGTGAAGAAAAGATTTGGATAAAGATGCATTTGTGTTGGCTGTATTTCTAGATTTAAAATCAGCATTTGAAATAGTTGATACGAATAAAGTCAACATAAACTCGGCTGTAAACCTGTAACCATCCTACGAGGGATAGTTACTTGCTGTAGTATGTAAGTTGGATTAACGAGATTCCCACTGTCCCTACCCACATTACGATGCAGGCTGGTTTGCTGAAGCAATTTTGTTAGCAGCCACCAAATTGTCGTTTCTACTATCTTACGATAGGAGAAGGAGAGAGAAGCTCTCGAACGATCTCTGGGAAAAGTTCCTAAGCCTCTCTTCAGACAGATAGTAGCGGTATCGTCTCGTCCTCCGTAAGAAGAGGGAAACTCGATGAATGATTCCAATTAATCTGGCTGAAAGTTAGATGAGCCCAGCTCCTCGGTGGATGAGCTTGACTTCAAAGCGTAACTCGTCCGGTCAAACGAGGATCCGGGAAGGCCGGGGAGTTAAAGGACTAACCTGAGTAATACCCGTATACCCGTAATCCTACTACTTAGTTGGCGCGGGCGAATGACCCTTAATGTCTACCCTATCGCAGTATATCTGGGTAACGGAGGACTGGTAAGCCTTGCCCCAGATGTTTACCTCTAATTCCTCGCATAACTCCTTCCATTTTTTTTTCTTGCTATTGCCAATCTCCCTCTTCAGTTGCCTTTTAGCCTCCTTGTATTTCTCCCTCCGTTCTTCCAGTATGTTCTCATTGCTGGTTTCTCCTCGCGCCCTTGTAAGCATTCTTCTTCGTCTGTTGCACTTTTTTCGTTTCTCCGCAATTTGTTGGTTCCACCAGTAAACTGGTTTTTACTTGTCCGTTCTTATTCCTGGTTTTAGTAAAGTGCTTATTGCACGCCCTTGTGATCCTGTATCAATGTTTTCGCATCTATATCGTCGGTGTTCCGGAAAGTTGTGCTGCTTTCTCTCGCTAGTTTCTTCATAGCCTTTGCGCTTGTTCTCCACCCTCTGAGTCTCCCCTCTTCTGTTCGTTTGGGTTCCGCTTGGAGCGTGTAGGTTATGGTGCGGTGGTTAGGATTTCCGGTTCGATTTCGACTTTCCAGTCATAAATCCATGTGCTTATCGCTGGTGATGCTACCGTAAAGTCGATTATTGAGGTTCCATTTGGTCCATTAAATGTTGGTGTGTCGCCGGTGTTTAGTATGTGTAGATCCTTATCCGCCAGCCATTCTTCTAGGATGATGCCTCTTTGGTTCGTCGTTGTAGAGCCAAGAGCCAGCGTCTTGGTGTTTAGGTCACTCCTCATAAGAATTCCTTTGTCTGTTCGCCTTATACTTGTTTCAAACCGGTTCAGTAATCTCTCAAAATCTTGGACCTCGCCGTTTGGCGAGAAGTAGCAGGATATCATCGCTGCTTCTTCCATTTCCACAGACACATATCCCCGATCACACTGGTAGTTTATCACAGTCATGTTCCAAAGATCCAGAAAGCTTTGCTTCATCAAGTCGTGGGTGCAGCTGCACACCTGTTGAGATTCATCTGCATAAATTTTATTGATAGTTCTTACCAGATTGTAATAGATTTGAACTCGAGAGACGATACCAAATTGATGAAGAGACTATATAGATCGACAAGTCCGAAAACTGTTCCCAAAATGCCCCAAAACTCTAGTTATGAGAGTGGAGATAACCAGTAACGAGGTAGACAAATTTAAAGAGGACGAACTTAAGATTGCCATCGATCAAATGATACCGTAGAAAGCCCCGGGATCACACAACATCAGGCCGGAAGTCCTTAATTTAATCGTGAAAGGAAACTCTGAAGCATTTCTACAGGTATATAATGGATGCCTAAACAACGGATTCGTCCCGAAGATGTGGAATGCGGAAACGACCCAAAGACTTACAGGTCTGATAGATACAGCAGGGAAACTGTTCGAAATAATAATCCGGAATAGACTTCTGAAGGAAACGCATGAGAAGAACATGATAAGCGAAAACCAATACCTATACGGCTTCAGAAAAGGGACATCGACCATCGATGCGTGAAAAACATATGGGTAGACATCAACAGCAAAGCGGTGAAAAATCGCGACTTCTGCATCATGATATTACTGGATGTACAAAACGGATTTAATTCAGCACCATGGGACGGCATCAGAAAGGCCATAAAGGACGGAGGGGTTAGCAAATATCTGAGAGCGATAATCAACTCATACCTATCAGTGAGAAGCATCATTGCGCCAAACAACAAAACAAACGAGATGATATGCCCCAAGGATCCATCATAGGACCTCTATTATGGAACATTTTCTATGACCAGATCTTAGGCATCGAAACAGAGGAAGGCGTAAAACTGATCGCATATGCAGACGATCTTGCTGTCGTGGTGAGAGCAAAAACAAGAACAGAATTAGAGGACAAAGCACAAAACGCAGCCACGAAAGTGACCGAAAGGCTCACAGAAATGAAAATATCTGTCGCAACTAGGAAAACGGAGCCGGAATCAATTTGAATGACAACATAATACAGAGCCAGAGGGCGGTAAAGTACCTAAGAGTATATTCTGACAAGGATTTGAAGATGACAACACATGTTGACAAAATAGCAGCAAAGGCCAACAGGATGCTAAACTTACTTATGAGCCAAAGGTTGGAGGACCAAAAAGCAACAAGAGAAGGATTGTAGCTATCGCATTGACCTCTGCAATACTGTACGCTGCACCGATATGGAAGTCTGCGATAAAACATAAAAATCACCTCAGGACTTTAGAAAGGGCGAATAGAAGATTGGCTATAGGAATCACCTCACCTCTGCCTACAGAACGGCCTCGATGGCTGCGACACAAGTGCTGGCGTGATTACCACCGTTCGACCTAGCCATAAAGGAAAACTGCAAAATTTACAATAAAGGAAAGCAAAGTAGAGGCGACGCGAGGGACCAGCTGTTCAACAACTGGCAGGAAAGATGGAAAGCATATGATGGGTTCGCAAGGCACCCATCAAGGATATGCGTGGCTGGATCAATAGGAAAGGAGGGAAAACTGATTATTATACAACACAAGCGATGACAGGCCACGGAATCTTCGGGACATACCTGAAAAAGATTAGAAAGGCGGAAACGGACGAATGCTGATTTTGCGGACAAGAGGACACCCGCACACACAATCTTCGTGTGCACGGAGGCTGAAGACCCTATGTAGGATGCTGCGGAAAAGTGTGGGTCCGAAATAAGTATAACGAATGTTGGGGATTTGTTCATGGAGAGAAGAGAGTACCTAGAGGCAATTCTGGAAATGTTGAGAAAAATAATGAAGCGAAAGGAGACAGAGGAGCAACGACGAGACAGTGAAGTGGCAGAGGCCAAATCCCGAGAAGTAATGCCTAACGGCGGTCCCGAGAAGACTAGGGGAAGGGTTTTAGTGGGTGCGAGGAAAAAGGACTCACTAAGTGAGCCCATTTAACACTAGGAATAAGGAATACGGTGCTAGGTCGACCACATTCCTGCACCAGTAAAAATGCTCGCCGCTGTGCTGATTCCAAGGTTCAGGGTTGAAAGGCACAGCGTCTATTACTTTAGATGTGGTAACTATACTCCCGAAAGTGGGTACCAAACGGCCGGCGCGGCGACTCGTCACACGTTGCTCGGGGAACCTGCCTAGCACGAGTATCCAGGGGAAAGGCCAGCCCAGCCAAAACTTGGTGCCTTGTATAATTTAATTTGTAATTTTTTTTTCCGGCTTGGAACTGTGCTTTTTACACTAAAACTCCCTGCTCATCTTCTCTCTTATATCTTATATTCTGCGAATGATGTAATTATAAAAAGACTACAAATTTTGCAAATTAGACCGATGCGTATAAATTAAAGATAAATATACAAAAGTGATTAATATATTTCTGTAATAGTTTCACCACATTTTGATTTTTTCAAAAACTTGAGAATTTTTAATATTTGTGGCGTCAAAATTTCGATCGAGTATAGTGGTAAAAGTAGGTAGGTACTCTAAGTCAATATAAAAAAACGTTACCTACTCCGAATGTCAAAAATGTATTCCATGTTCACAACAAATCCAAGAAAAATTTCTTCAATTCACCAAAGTATTTAGAAATCAGTTTTCGAGCACTCCTCTTCCATGCGTTTATGTGTATTTTCAGCTTTTATATATTTTAGCTTTTGCCTGTGCTTTTGCTGTAGTGCTTATCACAGCATGGGTTCAATTCATAACAAAAGCCATGCATAGTATAGATTCTCTGTACAAGAAATAAAATAAAAATATAATTTCGCACAAAAAAATTCAAAAAAAAGTCATGGTTCCAGGACTAAGACAACGAACCTCCGGGACCTTGCCCCCTTCTTCCACGAAATTGGTGCACTTATAAAAAGGAAAAGTTCGACCCCCCGCACCACTCTAGTGCAGTGCCACCGATCACGAAACATGTTGAGATACGTGAGTACCATTCTTTCCTAAAATAATTGTCATTTCACCCTCACTTCTAACAAATTGATTGTGTCACCAATGGAATAATTATGATTTCGACATCAGTGCATTTGTTATTTTATAGTGATTTGTCCTTTGGATTGATGATAAAGAAAGCAAGACTAGGTTATTCTGTTCCGCATTTATATTATAGTCTCAAGGGCAGATTATTTGCTAAGTGAATTCCTATTCAATATAAAATTTTGTCCTAATATCACTTTTAATTTCTTTAGCTGTCGAATTTGTGAATATTCATGTACAGTTGAGAGCTAAAAATATTCTATATCTTCGCAATACTCTGAAAGTTCTTCAATAACGCGAAGAGCAAGCTTTCAGTGGTTAAAATAAGCAAAAAATAAGTACTTCTTTATGTAGATATATTTGAGTCACAAAGATCTTTATAAATTTATCAAATTCCATAATCTCTTTCAATAATTAATCAATATTTGATAAACATATTCTTCACCTAAAGATTTTTTGACACACTTTCGGTAACAATCAGTTAGCCTTAAAGGAAGCGATTATTGGGGGCTGCATTGGAAAATATAGATTGGTTAAAATTTCGAAGAAAGTGTTTGTTTTTAGTGAATAAATAATTTATTACGAAAGTGAGCAACTGCAAGCCTGGTGGGTATAATGAGGCCCCAAGAGCTTTAAAATAAAGTATGATTCACCCCTTCTTGCCCGTGTGAGTTTACCTGACAAAGTTAAATTCTTAACTGTGATATTTTAATCCTATATATTTTTATTATTATTTTAAAGGTTTTCTGATTCTCATCATACTACCCCCACTTAGGTTTAAAGTCGCTTACTCTTATGATTTATTATTAATTAATTGAACACAAATACTTCCTAGAAGATTTTGGACAAGCTCTCATATCAACGGAATGAAAGCCAAAGCTTCAAACTTATCAGACCAAAAGACCTTTAAAATAATGTATCAATGTGACTCTGGGGGTTGAAAGAAGGCAGTTTGCATACAAATGATCCCTCTCCAAATTATAGGTGATGTATTGCGGGGATTTTTTCTATTTTTTTCGTTTTTGGGATAACAGGGATGGAAGTTTCAAAATAGACACCACACATAAAAGATATTTCCAGTAGGTAGGTCCAATTTAGCTCCACTAACGATGTTGGGGGCAAAACGGGGTGAGAAATAGAAAGAAGGAATTAAAGGGATAACGATTTTGAAAGATTTGTTTGTGAAAATAATGCGGAAGGGGAGGATGTTGATTCTAATATGTTCTACAATATTAATAACATTCAAACATTTTCAATAATTTTGATCAAGTTCAAGGCTGAAAACGAGCTTTTTCTGCCCCAATTTCAAGAATAATTATTATAGGTTTCATTTAAATGTTGGAACAGGTACCGGTAGACTTTGGTAACCGCATACACCATTATTGGCGTTATCCTTTAAATTTTTAATTTGAATTCAATTCTTTAAAGGTAAAAGAGACAGATAAATAAAAAAACTGGTCGTATTATTTCTTGTTTCTTGAAGGTTTCAGCCGGCAGCCCCGCCTTGGAAATGCAAAATAATTAAGTATTATTTTATTTATTGGGCAACGCCGTCACATTTTTGTAATGTCACGGTGTACGGGGCTGGAACAAAGTAGACGTGTTTTTATACCAATATTCTGGGGTATGGAAGAGAATTTCAATTTTGAACTTTTACTGGCTTTATTATGTAGTGCGAGAAACCTTTCTATTTTTCTTGCCGTTAAAATAAAAAAATTGCACAATGCGTTCTCTATATGCAGTACCTACCAAAATGCAGAAAAATTGTATAATAATGATTGGGTTGAGACAGTGCAGTAATCTAATCTGTTGACATATAGCGGTTTCATAAGCTCACGTTTTGCTACACACGTCTCATAATCTCATGCATTTTGCATAATTAGGTTTTTTAGTTCAATGAATTTAAAGGTTATGAATTTAACTATTTTTAATTGCAAATAGTAAAATGATAATCTAATTCATACAATTTTATAGCTCCTAAATATTCAGTAATAAATTAATTTAGGAAGACATTATGTTCAGCTTTCAATAAGGATTTTACTAGGTGCCTAGTCATTTTATTCCTGAAACTCATAATTATTTATAAATAAGAGAAATATATATATATCTGTAGCAGAGAGGTAAATAGTCGTAACTCCACTTTTAATCAATATTGAGTTAATATCATTTTCAAAGTTCACACTTTCAATTTGTTGTTGTGGCAAAAAATCGTAAATCCCGCTTTGTTGGTTACCTGAATTTTCAGTTTTGAAAAGACAGTAATTCGATGTATTAGTGAGGTAAAGAATAGTATGTCCTTTATTGTTAATGTTAACCTACCATCAAATTTTTAAGTGATAAACAGTAGTAACTCCACGGAACAACTTGTTTTTTTTTACTGAATTTTTTTATTTATGGACACCATTGTTTACCTCTCTGCTACAGATATAGAGATATAGAGATTATCAAATATCAATTTATTGTTTTTAGGAAGTAACACACACGCTGCAAAAATTTTAAGGTCTACATATCGAACCACGCCCAAAATAAGTCTGATTTCAATGTTGCGATTGTGATAAAAATCTAGGCGTATTATTAATGTGTGGTGACCCTCGAATTACATAAATACTTCAATAATGAAAGTCCTGCTAGTTGCCTTTATCATTATATGACCTTAAAGAGAATTCATAAAATTTAAATGAATTATTAAATGCATAATTTTCAGGTGGCAGTCTTTGCTTTAGTGGCAGCAACCTTAGCTCAAGACTTCGCACCATCAGCCCCTAGGCCGGCACCTCCTAGAATCCAACCCGGATATTCTGGTCCGTCAGCGCCCAGACCCACACCCGTACCGATTATCAAACAAATTGACAAGTAAATTTATAATCCATAAAATATAAAAAAATTAATCTACTAACTAAATACCTATTTTTTTAGACACAATGAAGACGGTTCCTACACATACGGGTACGAATCTGCCGACGGTTCCTTCAAAATCGAAACCAAATTGCCCACTGGAGAAGTTAAAGGCAAATACGGATATACAGACGACCTAGGAAAAGTAAGAGTGATCGAATATGGTGCAACCAAACATGGATTTGCTCCATCTGGTGAAGGCATTACTGTTCCTCCACCAACTTTGGTAGATGAAACTACCGACAAATCTGGCAATTTGCTGGCAGAATATTCTGGAGCTTACGATCAACCTGATAATGAACCTGAAAATGTTCCTCAACAAGCTTATACCAGGTATTTTACCATTATTTCTTTCCTTGTTGGTGACTAGCCGACTTTATAGACTGGTATGGTCAAAAAAATTATGTAGTACCGAGACAGTAGATATAACGAAGACGATTTTTCTAAATTTTGCGGAAACAAAATCCTTTTGTTACCTGAACCTTGTCTCTCCGATTCTGTAGGAACTATAGTGTGCTGGCATAGGTTATTTTTATGTTTATTAGGCGTTATGTATATTAGATATTTGAATATTTTTCCACTGATGAATTGGTTTTTGTTTTTCTTTCATTCTGCGTGATACTTACCGCAAGTCAAGTTTCTTCATAGATCTTTCATATTTCCGACATTTCATTTCAAATACAAGGACAGTTGAATCGGATCTTTGCGTTCAGTGGAATCGTCGCGTACCTGTATCTGCGAAATTTTCGCAGCGAAACCAAAAAATAATAAGCCTGGTCGTTGGATAATTTAAGTATTAGCTCATATTTGGATCTCAGTTTTTTGGGGAAAATTTTTGTCACTGCAATATTATTTTATAGTTAATTTCAATCTTACAACCAAAGTTGCTCATATTCAAATTTTGTGAAGGACTTAATAGTTATAGTTGATCCAACTGCGTTTATATTCAATTTGCTGGCAGACACATTGTGACGTGCTACCGATTTATTTTGGAATCAACTATACCTACATATCATAAATATCCGTCCGGAGTGCTCGAGACACCCTTGCCAAATTTATCGTGACCGTCCTCATAATAGGCTTTTCGTCTAAAATACCAACAAACAAAGACTAGCATTGATTACAAAAAGACGGGTTAGTTTGTAGTAGCTTTCTAGAATACCATGATACAGAAATAAGCACTCATTATGCATTTGTCAAGGGTGACTCGAGCGCTACCCTATTCCTAAGACTAGAGTCTTGTAATGCTACCAGTGTGTATCTCAAAAATATTAGGTGTTGCTGAAAATTGAAGCAGGATGAGGCAGGATCATAGCAACACACGCAGGAACATATTTAAGCGATCCTGCTTCCAGTGTGTTGTTAAGGGTGGAGTTAGCAACCAAAACAAAATAAAAATCGCTGTATCTCGTAAATAGTATCGGTTACATGGATCAGATTTGCAGCAGGCTGACGCAGAACCAAAGCAGCACAAGCAGGAACATGTTTTAGCGATCCTGCTTCCAATGTGTTGCCAAGGGCGAAGTTGGCAACCAAAATAAATGAAAATCGACATATTTCGAAAACGGTGGGTGTTGCTGGGTCGCGGTTTGAAGCAGGACAAAGCAGTAATATAGCAGCACAAGGCGAGGCGGATCCTAAAGATTCTGCTTCCAATATGTCGCTAGCTTCCCCGACATCCAACATATATATTTCATAATTATATTCAAATTAACCCCCCTCCAGACCTATAAAAAAATCTAAACTGGTACTTCAATTCGAATATAGAAAGCTGATATTTGCTAGAGAAGAGAAAAGAGAGTTATTATCCGTCATGCCTAATAACTCTATCACAATTTTATCCTAAATATTCAATTTTTTACGTGTCAACTTTTAGGCCTAGACCGATTGAATATAGCAACTTCGAATTCTCCTCAGTCCCGGAAGCTAGGCCAGCCCCTAGACCAGCTCCAAGACCTGCGCCCTTGGAATACTCGCCACCGCAAACTTTTGAACCTGCTCCACGTCCAGCGCCTGCACCAAAGCCACAACAAGCTCCTTCTTCTTACTCTTTTGATACCAGCCTATTCCCATCTGCTTCAATTCCAACCAGGCCAGCTTTCTCACCATCTCCAGTTCCTCCTAGGCCTACCTTCGCTAACGCTGCCCCTATTCCCACAGAATATTCCAGGTAAATTTTATAAACATAAATTAGATGGTAAAATTAGAAATGTTTGAGTTTACATAGGCCTGCTGCTCAACCGTCATTCGCCCCAGCACCAATTACCAGACCAGCACCAGTACCTCAATACAGGCCTGCACCTGTTGTACCTCAATATAGGCCAGCGCCAGCGCCTCAAAAAGCTGGTAGGCCAAATGGAGGATCCATTTTGGATCAGCTCAGCAAAGACTATGCTTTGCCACAGGGAGACTCTGCGCCTTCTCATGATATTAGTTTCGGGTATTACTAAATAAATTCAATCAATTATTAGGATTTTAAAATTGTGAAAACCGTATGCTGATTTGTCGTAGGGAGAAAATATGTATAATTTCTAGTACTATACCTATAGATACTTATCATGTATAGGTATAATTTTGTTATTCATTTGCCTGATTTTCTTTTTTCAATTTTCATCTCTCATTTTCTTGCACTATCACCAAGCAACGGCAATCTACAAACCACTATTTCCCTGAACTCATCACTGTTGTTTAGTTTTTCATGCTTGCATGTTTTTTTCCTGTTTCAACACCTTCCTACTATATCTCTCCACTTCATTCTTTTTCTGCCTCTGTATAATAGTATACAAAAACTTATTTTACTGCCTACCTACTCACTTTTTATCTTATCTATTTTTCTTATTATTTTATTATTATTATTTTTTCTATTCTTGCCTTCTGTTTTCTGCTCTTAAACTTCTCTAGTCTAGTCTTTCCTTCATACTTATTGATTTATTTTTTATTTTTCCTAAGTTTAATGTTTTTCTTTTTTAGATTACTAAACTCACAGTTTTTTTTCCTACTTATCACTGTTTATCCTGCTTACTAAATATATTTTGCACCTATTTTTTAACAAAAATTCTCTATTTTTCCTTTTTTTTATTTCTTTATTTTATCTGATTGTTTTCTCCCTTGTATATCAATACAATATACTATGCCATTGTTGTTAAGTATTTTGCATGTTTTCGACTGTTTATTTATAATATAATTACTATAGGTAATATATTCTTCTTTGCCTGCAAATATCTGTAGATATCTGAACCAATTAGCCTATTTTTTGTACGATTTATATATTGTGATGTACGTTATGTGTAAATAAACTTCCATAAAATCGAATAATAATTTTATTTTAGCTTGTTTATCTTGTGTGATTTTTTCAATAATAGTAGGTATATTCTTCAACGAGCATATAATGATAGCTATTATTCACGAGAGTGAAAATTCAAACACGAGCCGAAGGCAATTGTTAGAATCATTTCTCGTGAGTAATAGCCATTATTTGCGAGTAGAAGACTTACTTTCTCTTCGAACTTTTTGGAGGAAAATCATTAGTTTCTGTAAGAAATAACAATCATCAAAAGTCCTATTTTTTTTTTTAAAACGGAACTTTCGTGATCTGACAGTAGACGTCAGTCATGATTTGTTTGTATTGTCTCGTTGCGGCCCGTGTATTCCGAAAACACGGAGAATTGGAGAATTTGATTGGTCGATAGGCCGTGGATTCCGGTTTGAAATCCACGGGGCGTGTAGAATTCGTATCATTAATCAGTTTAATATTGAGCGCGAAAATAAATGTTTATTTAATGTTCGAAGAAAAACTTTTTCTGTCGGTAACTAGGTACCTATCCAAAGAGTGATTAACTTTCCAGGGGGCCAACTATATGACCACTTTTATATGCAGACTCAAATCTCATTTATTCCTGTTAGGGATTTTCCTAGGAAAAATCTAATAACGAATTCTCTTGGGATCGCCTGAAACCCGACTGTACCGGTTTACCGAAAAACCATTATTATTTTTCTATTGAAATTGATGTTTTTTTTTCGAGGATAAGTGACGGTCGCTTAAAACTTTTCAGCACCGATTTCCATTATATTAAAATGCAGCGGGCTCGAGATTATTTTTTTGATTAAGAAAGCATTATTCTTATTTTTAATTTGTGTCTTGGAACAGTGAAAATTAGTCTCTGCTGGTAGGTGTCAAGGGATCCTTAGGTATTTAGAATAGGTAGGTACCTACCTAAGTAGGTACGTCTTTAGATTGCTTCCAGAAAAATTCCTCCACAATCGCCATTTTTTATAAGACATTTGATAAAATTCAAAAATACGTTATATATCATTAACCGAATGAAAATCTGTCTGCTGTCTATTAGTATTGTCAATCTAGGCAGGTTTATGCAGGTGAGGTAGAAAAAATTAGTAACAAAGTGATCTCTGCGGAAATGAGTAGTCGATAGGGTCCTAATTAATCCCTCAAAAATCGTACTTTGTCGCATCGGTGGAACTTGGAAAAAAATGGCCGCCATCTTGATTTTTTTCGGATTTATTGAATATTTCGTAAAATATGCATTATATCAAAAAAACTCAAGAGTGCTTTTTTTGTGGAGAATAAACACTATAAGCTGGAAAACAAAAAAGTTATTGTAAATTAATTTATTTAAAAATCTGGACATTTTTGAACTTTAGGTAAAATCGCGAAATGTATGGATTTTTCTAATAGAACTTAACAATGCCTGTTAGTAGAGGATTAAAGATACCTATATTGAGAAAAAAAAAAAAAAAAAACAGTAATTATCGAAAAGTTTGGTGTCAAAGGTTCAAAGCATGGTCTCAAGTTTCCAGTCTTTCTCTTTCACTACTGTGAAGGTTTAGTGATTTTTTTATAAACCTGAAAGTATAGAATTTAATTTATTTGAATTACTCAGTATCTATCCAGACAGTACACAGACATCTTAAAGACGTCCCTAAGATGTCCACAAACGACATTCAGGACGTCTTTTAGACGTCGACTTACGTCTTCAAGGCGTCTTAAAAAAGACATCTTAAAAACGTCGTATGTTACAAAACCCTACGTCTTTCAGACGTATGCCTAAAAACGTCTTCAGAACTGATATTTTATTATTATTACTCATTTTATAACTTTCAATTTTTGTCTATTCCAAACGCTAGGGTCTTAAATTCTTGATTTCTTTAAACGGAAACATACGAAAAATGAATGTTGGTAGAAAACCATTTGAAGAGACAGGACTGAAAATTGAAAAACAAGTCGAGAGCCTGAAATTCTAAAATACAGGAATAATGAGAATTCAAGAACATGGAAAAAAAAAATCCAAGCCAAAAGAAAATTAGGAATTTAGGATAAAGAAGTGAGGAAAAATCAAAAGCCTGGAATACAAAAAATTATAAAAATTCAAGAATTTGAATTGAAAGAGGAACATTTTCTTGTTAATATTTCATTATTATTTATTACTCATTTTATTTTTATTATTATTATTTATTAGGCTCTCTGGCACAATTCTGAGGTTTGTCTAAAGTGTTCCAACTTAGCTTGAAGAGTTCTGGAGCATTCTAGAAGTTTTTCAGTAATTTCTAAAATGGAAGTACGCTTCTTCGAAGGATCCATGTTAAATTTCAAAATGTTGATTTGACAGATGGACAGATTTTTATAGTTATTAATGATACAAGTTCGATATGAACATCATAATGAAACGCGTGTAACGTTAAACCACGAGGCGTTAGCCGAGTAGTTTAGTTACATAAGTTTCATTGATAAACAGGCTTATGATGTATCATTTTCTGTTATTTCAACAGCAACGTTAAGTTGTCTGTCACTGTTTATTTTATATGTCAAAATAGAGAGAAGTATAGATGTTGAGCTATAACATAGCTGTTAAAATAACAGGAGAGGATACATCATAGGCCTGAATGTTCATATCGAACGTGTATCATTCAAAATTTAATCTACAATGATCCAAATAGATTTGATTTGCGTTGAAATAGCAAAAACTTTTCAAATTAAAATGCAAAATTTAGCAGGTACCCTTACTAGTCGGGAACCTGCTTGTTGATTTTTAGAATTTTGACTTTGGCAGCTTCAATATTGGAGTCAATTTTTGTGCCATAAATTGAGTTTTATAGTGGAAAATAACGTTAATATTGGTGATTCTGAGTTCGAAAGTGTCCCTTCGAATATCGAGACAGCATCAATGAAAAGGTTCTTCTGGTAGCTAGCTTTCTTTTTGCATATTTTTCATTTCATAATTTGGGTGTTTTTATGAATTCTTAAACGCACTAGTGCTATTATGAAGGACCTAATGACATTCAAATGACAATGCTAAATGTGTCATAATGACACCGACGTAGATTAAGTATTTTATGGCCGTTTCCACCAACTATTTTAGGGAAGCCTTAACGATAGGTATTCTCTAAACTGACAGTTTTCTATGGAGAAATGTCAGTTTAGGGAATACTTATCGTTAAGGCTTCCCTAAAATAGTTGGTGGAAACGGCCATTAGAGCCCTATTGAAGTTCCAAAGTGAAGTTGAATTCGTTTAAAAGCATTCTAAAAGGTTTCCAGTTCTAAATTGAATCGTTATTGTTCTAAAATATCTCTGAAGTTTCTAAATTGTTCCAAAATACTCCATTCTAATAATGGTTCTGAAGTTTTCAAAATGTTCTGAAGCGCTACACAATGCTGTTGGAAATTATGAGTTGAATTTTAAGTGTTTTGAACTTTCGAAAAGGCTTATTATTGAAGTTCTAAAGTGTTCTATAGGATTCTAAATGATTTCAAGTAACTTCTAAAATTAAATGAAAAACAAATTCCGTGAAAAATCTTTAAGGCGTCTTAAAGACATCTTAAAGACGACGTATGTTACAAAACCCAACGCCTCTCAGAAGTCTATAAAGAAGCCTATAAAGACGCCTTTAGAACTAAGACATTCTTCGTCTCCAACGAAATTTCATGTTTTAGGCCTGGCTTATTCACTTTTAGGCCTGGCTGTACGAAATAGTGTGGCTCAGTTCAGTTAACCTTGAGATGTGAATTTAGGACATCCGATTATGGAAGTTTTTGGACGTTTTTTTTTTGGTCTTCAGACGGTCAGATGTAATGCAGAATGCAGACTTAGAAAAGACGTCTTTAAGACTTTGTCTGCTGTCTGAGTCTGGGTAGTTTCCTGACCAAATGTTTTTCTGGTCATATGCGTTTTTGCTTTCTGTCAACAAAAATATTTAGATCATTGAATTTATTGAATTTTTCTTCCATTAAATATAGTTTTTAATTCTGCACCAAAAAAAATAATACTTATTTTAGTTTTTTTCAGATGTTTTGAAAAATTCCATGTTGCCAAATGAAATAAATGTCAATAACTTTTTCGTTTTCAGCTGATGGTCTTTAAATTTCTCCCATTATAAGTTACCTTTGATTCTCCACAAAAAAGTCCTCTTGAGTTTTTTTGATATAATGCATACTTTACGAAATATTCAATAAATTCCAAAAAAATCAAGACGGCGGCCATTTTTTTCCAAGTTCCACCAATGCGATAAAGTGCGATTTTTGAGGGATTAATAAGGACCCTATTGACTACTCATTTCCGCAGAGATTACTTTGTTACTAATTTTTTCTACCCCAACCCCCTATAAAAACTACTCATTAAATACCTATGTAGGTACCTATCCTATAAGTCTTCCTGTAGGTACCGGAGTCAGTATTTTTTCATTTATTCGTATTAGGCTGGTTTAATTAAGTACTTAATTTTATGAGAAGGATAATGAGATCTATGTATCTTGACAATGTGACACAAGTTTCATTCACTATAATAGTACCGGGTGTCCCACTAGGGTCGGCCAGGTACGATATTATGGAGACCATAGACCTTACGTAACTTGAAAACGAATGCAGATATTGAATTGCGGTTTGCGCCAAAATGTAGATATTTTTTTGCTCTTTAAGCACAGCAATACAAAAATAATATTTTGCCATTTGGATTTCTTATGAAAATTAGAAAAAACTGGATCTTGAATAAACAGCGCCCTCTAGAAGACGCGGTGGGAACTATCGACCTCGAACGAAGTGGTTTTCTTAATAACAATGAAATTCTCTTCCAAATAAACCCAAATTGAATGATTTTGAATGAGGGGTATGGAAGATAAAGCAATTTCAAAAAAAAAAAAATCACCAGCTTCCCCCACCCTTTATTACTGAAGATACGAAAAAAAGCCTAATAACCAAACTGGCGCAAAAATGAATGAACTTTTGATTTCTCTTGTTAAAACGGTATCTTAATACAGCGATTTCTTGAGAAAAGTTGAATTTTTAGCTATATCATCGTAATTGCGCCCCCTAGCGGTCATCCTAGA